GGAAGTTTATGGAAGCCCCTAAAGTCATTTTTTTCTAATTTCTGATATACAAAAATCGATCATAACTCTAATTAGGTAATGCATAGGTCAAAGTCCATTTGAGGCTTTCTGAATTCCAGTGATGAGGGAAATATTCGAGATATCAAACGTCTTTTTGGCTCATTCGATAAAGTATATTCAGATAAGAAAAAGTATACAACGGCCTGTTGGCGAAGATTTACGGTCGTTTTACTAAGAGCAACTTCAAAAAAACTAAAATTCCTCTATTCTCTTACTTCTTTAGCTTCCTGTTCAATTTCTTTTGCTGTTATATTCGTAGCTCCACCATCATCATCATCATTGTCATTAGGTCGATAAAGTTCCGGTTGATTGGATGCAAAATTTTTATACTTAAGAAAAAGAAAAAAAAAACAATTATTTAACTAATCTATTTTTATATATGTAGAAAAAAATAAATTGAATTTACATTTGGATTTTGTCTAGCTTTTGATTCAATTTTCGTCCATGCTGTATCACGATCACGTAATTTTTCTTTTTCTTTTTGTTTTTCAATTTTATATTTTTGTGAACATTCATCAAATAATTTATGATTCATTTCCATAAATAATTTTAATGCATTATATATTAAGCCATGTATTGTTCTATTTTATCAAAAAAAAAAAAACAAAAGTTAACAAATATTTATATATATTATTTAAATAAAACAAAAAAAAATTTTACTTATTCCAATGTGTTTTTGTATTTTTATATAAAGCTGGAAACATAATTGGTAAAATAACGGCGGCATTTTCTGTTATTAAACTCATTATATATTCATTATTCCAATAATAAAGTGCTCTTTCAGCTACCTAATAAGAAAATATTTATTTATTGAAATCACAAAGAAATATATGTAAAAAGAAACAACTAACTTGAAAATGTGGACTTGATACACATTTAGCAAGTTGTTTAAATAAAGATACCATCACTTTTTGAAATTCAGCTGGTTCAATAACATCAAGAATTTCTTCTAATTCATTGAGAAACATAACCTCTTTTGGACTATGAGTCTTAGGCCAATATTTTAATAAACCCGTTATCACCTATTTTTAATATAAAATCGAAAAAAGGTTTTTTTTTTGTTTATAATTTAAAATACCGGTTGAGTTAAACTAGGATCTTTTTCAAGAAATTGCACAATACAATATGCTAATTGTGGATGATAAACACTGAGTGTTTTTACTTTGTGCAATGGTAATAAAACTTTTATTAAAAATACTTTATGTTCTTCTTTTAATGGTAATGCAAAACCATTAATAATACTAAATATAAAAAATAAATAAATATGGGCTTCTGTTTCTATTTCGATAATTTTGTTATATGGCTTTTTTTTTTTTTACCTTCCAAGAATTTCAAGTAATTCAGCTACACCATTATGTCGTTCGGTTTCATAAATAAACTAGAAGACAAAAAAATGAATTATTTTTTTCGAAATACACAATAAAAAATAATCCTGCCTAACAGCAGATTCAATAGTTCGATATATTCCTTACAACTATGAATAGCTATAGATTTGAAAAGAAAGGTTGACCGGACGCAGAGTTCTTGTACTCACTACCTAGCAACAAGAGCATTGCAGTATCAGTATGCTATCGGACAAGTGATTCGAGATAAGCAATCGTTTGTGTAACTTGTTCAAGGTCATTTCATGGTTGGTCTATATATACATAGCGTCTTAGACGGTCTAGTGCTGATAGAAAATGGGAATATATTAGCGCCGGTTTTCTTCTTTTTTTTAAAACTATTATTGATAGAGATTTATAGTTGAATTTTTTTCAGCGATCGACATTAAACAAACTGAATCTATGTTTATAGTAGAAAATTTAATTTGTATATTTACATCAAAATATGTCTACTTTTCAAAGTTTTAAACGGTGAGTTCAACATCTTGTCTAGACTTTTTAATATTCTAAAAATCCTTTTTTTAATTAAAAATTATTTAAATAAATGAAATGCAATAAAATATCCCTCTAGAGCATTTGCACACTTGAACATAATAAAATAATCTACTCCAAAAAGTTAAGTATAAATAAAAGTAAATATGACATCTATATTGAAAGATCAATGAATGTATATGGATATTAGTTTTCTCTTTATTTCCATTCACACTCTTCGAATTTATTGACAAAATCAAAAAGAAATATTTTATTAAGCTCAGTCCAACGCATTTTACGAACAGCCCAGTTTTTTGCAATTTAAACATTTCGGTCAATTCGTTTACTTTTTTTTTATTTTTGTATAAACATTTAATGATTAGTTTATCATCAGAAATAAAACTATATTCTTTTATAAATAAACAACTACTTTCTATATTTAAGATATATATATCAAAGCATAATATTTGTCTTTTACTATGTTTACTTAACATAATATTATTCATTGATTATTTGAGAAAAAAAACAAAAAATATGTCGTTAATTTATGTAAATAATCACTTTTTTTTAGAAATCGCTAATCCTTTTTTTTTTTTACGATTGGTAATAAAAACAAATTATATTTATGTATTTATATAGTCGAATAGACAGTTAGTTCAAGGTAATATTTTGTTTTTTACCTTATAAAACGTATTATTAATTTGTTTTCTAATATAAGCACGTAAACCAAGAAATTTGCCATAAATGCGATGAAGAATTGTTTTTAAAAAATCACGTTCACGTGGATCTTCACTATCGAATAAATCGAGTAACTAAAAAAAAAAGCAAAACAAAAAAATAATTAAAAAAAGACAAAAGATAAATTTTTTTTTTCGATATTTTCATACATTAAGAACAAATTTTTGATCGATATATCTTTTTCCTGTATTTGGTTGAAAATCTGGCGATTCAAGAAAACGTAAAAAGAAATCATAGACAAGTTGTAAATGCGGCCAAGCAACTTCAAGATTTGGTTCATCTTCTTCCGGATCATAATCAGCACCTGTTGGATTGCTTACTGGTGGTAATGTTCGAAATAGATTAATAGAAAACTAAAAAAGATAATAAATAAATTAAATATTAAATTAAATTTTTAATATTATTTACCATTCTAACACCTTCCGGATAAATAGGATCCGTAATAACACCACGATTTGATGTTATATAATCGATCATTTCATTTAATGCTGCACGTTTAATTTCTTTCCATTTAAGATCCGATAATGGATCAAGTTGAAAATCAAATACAGTACAACATTGTTGTAATTTTTGTACAAATAATGATTCACGTTCATGTGCTGTTGCTTCTTTTAATAAAGGTAATTTAACAAGTTCACGATTTTTTGATATATTAAAACGTGATGAATTTCTTCGATTATCTTTACGTATATTTGGTACGCCAGTCATAGGTTGAATTTTTGTTAATGGTGTTTGAGGTGGATGAGATGATGTTAAATTTGTATCAGATTGTTGTTGATTTGAATGAGAATTTATTGGACGTGATGTTGATTTTGTTGTTCCACTATTACTAATTGATGAAGATGTTGTTTTACCACTTAACGAATCTTTTCCTTTCGTCTAGAGAAAATTAATTTTTTTTCTATTGAACTTTATTTAATTTTTTTTTTTAAATTTTACCTCATCCGTTGTCTTTCCATCGGGTTCATCTTTTCCTTTTGTTTTCGTGACAACGGTCGTCTGTAACAAAGCAACAAAGTACTCATGTAATTTTATCAATGAAAATTTTTATTAAAATATACCTTTTTTGCTTTATTAGCTTCTTTATCTTTATCCTTTGATGATGATGATGATGACGACGGCATTTGTCGTAGATGAGTGAGTGCGTCTGAAAATCGCTTCAGCTCGATAGGTCGAACAATGTACGAGGAAAAATAACAATTGAATTAATCAATAAATATATAATTTCTTGTTGTTTTATTATTTTTCGTCTTTTTTTTTTTTTTTTGTTTTGTTTTCAACACCAAAAAAACATATGTTTTATTATTTTTTTAATCAACAAAAATCAATCATAACAAATCAATAGAAATTTTTAATTTCTAGAAATAATTTTCATCTAAAAGTCTATGATGGTAATCTATGACAAAATAAACAACAAAAAACAACAACAAATGAAAAGAAAAGGTGAATTTATCGTCGATTCTTATCGGACCATTGATTTAACAAATCATATAGAAGTTATTTTTATACACATTGATTTTACCTTGGTTACGTTTTCTAATACATCATTAATGATTAGACAAAAAGGAATAAATCAACTATATCTTATAAAATAATACTTTAAAACTCATCGTTGAAGAATAAAAGATAAAAATAATGTCTTTCTTTATGTTTCTTTTATGTTAATTTTTTTTGCAATTTTTTTTTATTTTATTACGGATTTAAAAATAAATGAAAAATTTTTTTAATTAAATAATTTTTTTAAAATATTATTATATATAGATAAATAAAGATAAATATCAACATAGATGGCGCTCGATAACAGAAATCCATAGTTTATAAATTTTAAAATGAAAAATGGATGTAATTTTAAAAGTTATTTATAAGATTAGTTTAGTTTTTGAAACATTAGTTTTTATGAAAAATGAAACTTTAAATAACTTTTCCTTTCGAATGAAACAAATAAAAAAAAAATATGACTTTATTATAAATTAAAAATCTTCTAAATAATTATATCTATCAAAAGGAAGTTGACTTACATTTTATATAATAGCATTCATTCATTATCTAAAGTATCGCACTCTAATTATAATTAATTGATCAAAAGAAAAAACATTCATTTCATTTCAACAAAAACTTTCAAGCATTTTTTTACACGTCAACAAATAATAGACTTGATGAAAAGAAAAAAACATTGTGCCATTAATAGAAGCGCAAGAACAGAATAAGATATCTACAAGTCTAGTCAAATATCCAAAAAATGGGAAAAAAGAAACAATATCCTTTGTCTATTGCTAATTTCCATTTGCGTTCTTCTTTTTCTCGTAATTTCTGATTTTCTTTTTTAGATTTATTTGTTCTTACATAATCATGACACAACAAAAAATTGATGATCTATTTTCTCTATCATCATCATCATCGACTCGTTCAAGTAAACGTTCTCGTATAAATCAAATAATACCTAGAAATAATCGTGATGAATTTGATGATTTATTTGAAACAAATACTCCAACAAAACGTCGATGTACAAATAATAATAATAAACAATTAACAGATGTTTTTGATTTTAATGAACCATCAACATCAACAACTAGTACAATAAAAAAAAATGATAATAAAAATTTAATAGAATCACGTAAAATTAAACGTAATATTATTGATGTTGATAATGAAAATAAAGCTATAGATGAATTATTTAATAATGATACACGAAAAAAAATTCGTCGTCAAATAAAACATGAAGAATCAACTGATTTATTAGATATGTTTAAAACTAAAACAACTACAAATATTTCTCAAACAATATCATCAAATATTGATGATTTTAAAATACCAATTCATTCAAAAAATTTAATAACACAAAAAAAGAAAATTAAAATGTTTTTTGATGATAGTGATCTTATATCATTACGTGAACAAGTTAAACAACAAAATGATATTGTAAGTTTATTATGAATTTTATTTATTTGAGAACAATAAAAATTGTTTTTTTTAGAAAGATTATGTTCAAGTCAAACCTGTATTGGTTACCGGTGGAGAATGGTTATCAAAAGAAACTGAGACAAAAGTATTGTTCAAATTTTTATTTTCTAATATACATATGAGTATAACTATATGTCTATGAAAAATCAATCGATTGATTCAAATTTGTACTAGTAAATTATTCAATGAGGTTATTTAATTAAGGAAATATCATATTTTCTACTCTCATCTATTCTAAAATACAGACAGACGAAGAAAGCTGGTTTTCTCACATAACAGATTATGAGGATATAACATATGAGAAAATCTGATACTGTCATGACGAACTCGTTTCATTGAAAGTTTTATTTGTTCAAAGTTGATTTTGAAGAAGAAAAAATTAATTTTTTTGACCGGAATCGAGATCCAGACCGAATTCTTTTCTGATTGGGACTGATATTTTTTTTTGACTAGGACGAAGATCGCAAGCAAATTTCTTTCATCGGAACTGGATCAGAATCAGAGATGATTGGTTCGACTGACATCTAAATCTTCTCTCGAGTTTTTATACAATTAATCATATACAGTGACGCTCAAAATTGTTCGTACACGTGTACGAACAATTTTGAGCGTCACTGTAGAATATAAATCTAAATTTATTCATGTATTACAATGAAAATTGAACAAAATTCTTTTTTTTTTTTTGTATCTATTAAGACGACATGTAAAACTATCGAACCATCGAATAATCCAACTACTAGTAACGATATTCCGGATGATCAACGTAATCTAATGCATATACAATATGTTCCACTTATTATGGATGATCAATATGGTTCTAGTAATAAAAAATCGAAAAATTCGAAAAATAAAACTGTAATAGAGAAATCAAATAAAAAAATTCTTGATGGAAAATCATTTCATAAAGTAAGTTAAAATATATTTGGTTTATTAATAATTTTTTTTAATTTATTTTAGCAACTTGTTCTATCTGATTCAACAATTGTACGAAAAGAAAATCTTCAAAGTTGTTATAATGCACTTCTCGAAGATCTTAATAAACCACGTATACCATCTACATCATCATCATCATCAAATAAACAAAAAAAATCTGTAAATTCAAAAATATTTTTAATCTTCTATTTAAATTTCTTTTCTCTAGACAACATCAAAAAATTCTCATAATAATGAAATTATTCTAAGTGATGAAGAACAAATAGATAATATTGATTTTTTTGATTTACCAACACGAAAAAAGAAATTTTGACCGTATATCTATTTTTTTTTAATATTGTATATAATAGATAATTTTTTGTATAATATTCATCTTCTTCTTTTTTTTGTCTTTCTAAACAATCATTTATCTGTATTAATAGAGAGAAGAAGAAAATTTCTTTTTTTTTTTTCATTTATCATTTTTAAGAATCAACTAGACAAAAAAAAAAAAAGAATAAATAAAAATGTTCTTTATCGAATGTCTTATACACATTCATTGAATTCTTTTCTGAGAAGAACAAAAAAAAAAAAACAAGGTTAGTATTATTAATTAATAATTGAAAACATCCAATTAGACATTCTCTATTGTCAATCATTTGGTTTTCTTGTTTCATTGAGAATTTCTCTCTTTTTTTTATAATACAAAAAAAATAAAAAATGAATTCGAATCTAAATAATGAATATATTCAATACTTACAACATCGTATTAATGTAAATCATGAAAATCTTGTTAAGAATGAAAAACGAAACAAGTAAGTTAATTAATTTATGATTTTTCTTAAAAAGAAGAATTTTTTTTGATAGGTTAACATGATAGAAGATAATCTAGAAGTTCTGATATATTATGTATAATAATTGTTTTCGTAGAAAGTATAGTTAAATGCGTATAAATTTATTTCTTTAGTTGATATCATAGGAAAACTATTAACTAAGAAATATCTATCAACAAATTAACCGTTAATATTTTAATGAAACTACCGAGATAACATGTCGGATGCCATTTGACTTGATATGAGTACGTCCCTATGAGACTACGAAAAGTTTAATAGAATTCGGGTCCATAGTTTATTAATTAAAAAATTTATGGTCATTTTTATGAATTTTTTTTTTGACAAGGAAACCGAACCGATTGATAATCATTCGTTTGAATACATAATGTAGATAAAAATTCGTACTATTAGGTCTTACTTCTCGAGTTATGGTCATTTTACTGCAGAATATCATGAGAAAAATTGCAATGTAAAATTTGCCTCAATAATAACTTATAACATCTTGAAAGTATTTGTATTTTTATCGAAGAAAATTAAATTTTGAAAGTATGTTTTTTTTTAACTAGAATATATTTTGCTTGACAACATGACATGTCAAGTATTTATGTCATAAGGACATTTTTGAATAATAATGTATTTTATATTTATATCTTTCAGTGATGACATTATCATTCGTCGACATAACAGCATAGCTCATATCTGTTTTCGTAAAACCATCTATCGAAGTTTTTCATTGTTTAATGAAAATGATGAATATAATAATAATAATATATCATATATTAAATATTGTATAAAAATTTTTCTTATTTGTCTTTTTATTATATCTATTGTTTCATTGATTAAATTTATTATATGGCATTAAAAATTATCAATCAATAAAAACAAAAAAGAAATAAATTATTTTTCAATTCAATTATATACTACTTATAATTAATAGAATTAGATATTGAATATTTTTCTTTTTTTGATTGTCATTTTTAGTTTGTTTTTAATAATAATAATAAAAGAAAAAAAAAAAAAAAAAAAAATAAGTAATGTTTATAGAAATTCTATTCATTTTTATCATATACTGATGGGATAGACATGTGCGTAGTTGTGTGAAATTCGATATACACATAAGTTAAGCTCTAGATAAATACATTAGGTAACTTGACCCATAAAAGCAATTTGTTCTATATTTGATATATGTAGTCATAAATAGTAGTACATTAATTTTATACTCGATATTTCAATATTTTCAATAAAAAAAAACAAATCTGATGATAGTGGAAACATTCCGACTTTTCATCATTTATATTATTTTGTGTTTTCTTCATGTTTGAAATAATATGTACGTCGTATAAATATATATATATTACATAGAAATCAATACAATCAGGTAAATTAGAACTATCTCCATGAGTGAAAAAAAGAAAATGATTATACCATTATTTAAATACTGTGACTTTAGTTTATCATAATTATATGTTCACATTCACTCACTCTCCCTTAATAATCATAACATCACATTCTCATGTATACATCATTGAACAATCGATCGAACTGTTCAATAATTTAATAACAACAATTGTCACTTCTAAGGGCATCCTAGGTCAAATAAATACACTCATAAATGAATGTAAATGATCGTAAATTGGCATGTTTTATATGGCTCACTATTATGATTATATTTCTCCATATGTAAAATAACGAACAATACAATTTATTTACACAGTTTTTATATGATTTCCATTTTTATATACAGTATACGATACAAATACATGTTATCGTAATATGGAGTCATATAGTACAGCAAAGTACCGTGATATACGATGAGATATGGAGTATAGACGAATTTCGTATTCTTTGTCCAGAAATACTATTCTTTGATTAATTTAGATCCTAATGTGTAGGTACTTCTTTTTTTTTTTTCTTATATTATACAGCCGTTTGTATCATAGACACTATATAGTAACTACGTATGTTATAGATACAAGTAAATTTTCGTTTATAGACCCTATCGTTACAGTCTAGAGACTATAAATATTGAAGTTAATGATGTATTGATAAGTTCTTATCAATTAACAATTATAATTGAACTGTTGAGATTTGTTAATTATCAAGACTTGACATTTTAAAAAAAGAAAAAAAAAAAAATAATAATATAGACAGTATCATTGTCAATATAAGCTACAACAGACGTCGATGTCAATTAGACAATGACAATGATAACTTCATAGATTACATAATTAAATCTTATTTCGAGATTATATGTATTGATAAGAAGTAGATGAAATGATTTTGTTTTCTTTTTGTAACAAAGAAAAGAAAGTCGATTTATTTTATACAATATATATTAGATATTTATGACGTCTTCAATAATTATTTTATTATTTTTCATGATATTCGAAATAATATCTACTATTGATTTATTAAATACAACATCGGGTATTTATATTGGTCAAACAGTTAATTATCGTGATATAATTATACAACAATATCTTGGAATTGAATATGGTCGAATAAAAAAACGTTTTGATCGTGCTGAACCAATTATTCGAGAAAATAATACAATTATTAATGCAACATCATTTGGACCTGTATGTAAACCAACAATAAGTTCATGTACAATAAATCGTGATAAATATCCATTAACAACATCTTGTTCAGTTAATTATGGAATTTTTTCAATAACATCATCACCAAATGAACAATGTTTATTTTTAAATGTTTTTATACCGATAATTAATAATGATAATAATACTAATCAAAGAAAAAAACCTATATTTATGTGGATACATGGTGGTTCAGCTCAAGTTGGAACAGGAAATGTATTTGATGGAACTATTCTGGCAGCTGTAGGAAATATAATTGTTGTAACATTTAATTTTCGTCTTAATCTTTTTGGTTTTCTTTCATCCGGTGATGAACGTTTAGAAGGTAATCTTGGTTTATATGATCAATCAATGGTACTTAATTGGATATATGAAAATGGTGATGTATTAGGTGGTGATATTGAACGTATTACAGTTGGTGGTCATTCAGCTGGTGCACCACATGCTTATTATTTAGCTAAATCACCATTTAATCAAGGTCGTATACGTCGTTTAATATTACAAAGTGGTTGTCCATTTAATATTTGGTCACATATAAAAGCTGATCAAGCTATTGAAAGATTTAATGTTGTTGTTAATGATAATCAATGTGGAATGATGTTAACATTTGAAGAAAAATTACAATGTTTACGTGATAAAGATTATGATTTAATTGCTGAATATGATCATCATACATATGCAAGTTCTAATCATACAAATGTTGTTATTAATGGTAATTATATGAATGAATTTCGAGAAGTTTTAGATTCAAATGATACATTAGTAGATATTGATATTCTTATTGGATCGAATGATGATGAAGGTAAATATTAAATAGATGTTGGTTTTTTTGTTTTAGTCTTTAAAATATTATTTTGAAAAATTACATATGTTGGAAATTAATAGAAATTACGTTTTTGAATTCGTTTGTCTCTTAAGACATTTTTAAGATTCTATTTTGACGATTTGATGATCAAAAAAAATCTATTTAAAGGAGGAAAGTTGTTAAATGATGAAATCGACTGCCTCCAAAAATTAAATTTCTCTAATAATTAATTCAAATATCAGAAGTCAATTGACGTTTGAATTAGAACGTTAGAATTCATTTCGACTGACCCAAAATACGATATTATCGATCTCCTATAGCATTATGCTATACAATTTTTTACAAGGAAAGTTTCTTAATTTGATTTATATCTCAAATAAAAGTTCTTCTTTTTTCTATCGAATAGCATGCATGAGTATGACATAATATTGTTTTCTATGCTCTCTTTCATATAAACAATATTACGACAACCAGAGCAAAATTCTCCTCCTTTTGAAGTATGAAAGCAGTGACCTGCTTTAAATTATAGGCGTTGCAAATCTGTACAAAACGATACTGCTACGTTGAACTTATTTTACGAGCAAGACACTTTAGTCAAATGCGCAATGATCGTGAGAGCAAAAAGTTAGCTAATATTTAATCAGAGTAATTAGACTTTTTATCAAAATAAATGATATATTTGGAATCAGTATAAAAAACTAAATCAATCTGTATGTATGACAAAATCTTTCATCAACTTTTTTTTTCTGCGTCCGAAAATTCAGCCGTGGTCTTTCGGGGGGTTACGTCCAAAAATAAAGTCAGTTGAAACATGGTTTTTATTATTTATTTATCTATCACTTTGAATTTTCTCAGATTTAAAAAAGAATAAGAAGTAAATTTTCACAATCAAATTGAAGTTGTTTTGACTGACTCTATTTTCCGGCATAAATCTGAAGATGGATCAGAGTTGGATTTTTCGTCAAAAATAAGATTTGTCACAGAACTTAGTGGCATATATAGATTGACTCAATTTTTTATGCTGATTTCAAATATATGGTTTGCTTTGATAAGAAGTCTAACTACTCTGATTAAAACCGATTAAATATTAGCTAACTTTTGACTCTCACGATCATTATGCGTTTGACTAAGGTGCATTGTCCACAAAAAAAGTTCAACGTAATAGTATTATTTTATAGAAGTTTGAAAAGCCTATAGTTTAAAGTAGATCGCTGCTTCCACATCTCAAAAGAAGGAGAATTTTGCTATGATTGCTCTCATATTGTTTATACGAGAGAACAGCGTCGAATGAAAAATAAAAAATATATTGTCATTATTCATATATGGCATTCAATATAAGAAAGAACGATTTTTTATTTTATATATAAGTTAAATCAAAGAAGGACAAGAAATTTTCTATGTAAAAGCTGCATAGAAGATCGATAACATTGAATATTGAGTCAGACTACACATAACCATTATGAATTCGAACGGTAATCGATTCCTAGTATCTGAATTGACTATTGGAGAAACAATAAAGTCAGTTTTATTATTTTTTTTTGTAGGTGCCTATGTCGCAATAGTACCTATTCTTATTGAACAATCCAATCAAGAATATATAACACTTCACAATGTAAATTTTACTGAAATATCACTAAAATTTCTTGCTGCAATGTTACCAGATAAAACATGTTTATATGAAAAAGCATTAGAATTGTATGCATAGATATTTAATTTAAAAAAAAAATTAATTTTATTTTTTTTCTATATAGATATCATATCAATATTATTCCAGATGATTGTTCTCAATCATCTGATTGTTATTGTTCTTTATTTTATAATTATTCTCGTCTTGTAAGTGATATTTTATTTTATAATGATTATTATCGTTTTCTTATTCAACGTATTCAATATTCAAATAAAACATTTATTTATGAATATTCATATCGAACATCACAAGAACATCCAACACCATGTAATGATTATTTATATAGAAATAATTTAGTTGGTCATTTTGCTGAACTTGAATATACATGGGGTACACCATTATTATTTGAAAAAACAAATTATACAAATAATTTAATACCATTAATTAATTATATTCCATATGAATTAAATTTATTTGATAATTATACAAATGAACAAATAGAATTTAGTGAATTAATTATTGAACAATGGTCAAATTTTATTAAATATGGTCAACCAAATAGTACAAAATTTGAAAATCAATGGTTACCTATTATTAATATATCAAATGGATTAATAATGCATTTAAAAATGAATGAAAGTCAAATGAAACAATTTGAAATTCCATCAAATGTACAGTTTTGGATGAATACATGTTCAATAATTGAAAATCATATGATTAATAATTTAAATGATCAAGCATCATTTGATGAAATATCAATTCCAATATGTGTTTGTACAAGTTTATTTCTTGTATTAATTTTACAAGATCCTTTTTTGATTATTTCATTTTTGTAAATTAATAAAAAAAAAAACAAAACAAAAAGAACTATGAAATATATTGATAATCAAGATTATGTTTGAAGAAAAAAAATTTCTTTTAAAAGTTTTTGAACTTTATTTAATCACCTTATAACAACATTATTGAAAATTTTTGAGAGATATTCAGTCGAATTTTTATTCACTCATTCTAATACATATCACTTCTTTCGTTCAATACTAGTAAAGGTTTTATTATTGATATTTTTTTTTTGTTTCATACTATTTATTCTGGTAAGCTACTTTCCGAAATAGGAGATCCCGATAGAGGAATCGATGTAAAAGACGTATTAGAAGTGCTAGGACGTTTATTGTATTGAGACAATTTTAGTTTGTAGAGCAAAACTTTGTAGATGCTATTAAATTAGTCTTAGTCAGGCGCCGTCTGTGTATAAAAAAAGTTTTCCTCTAGACATTAAATTCTCATGATTAAGAATAATCTCTAGAAATCATTTTCATTGTCGTCTGAGATCAAGGTCACTATGTGGTCTGTAACTGCCACTTTGTGACTGTGGAAGTGTAAGTCTTTTCCTTGGTAAGACTTACACCTTTCCTTCTAAAATTTTGAATAGTTAGACATTTTAGAAGTCCCGGATGCTTCTGTTGTGGCGAGGGGTTTAACGACAAATTGGAGGAGCAGCTTACCGGATCATTTATTAGGCTATTGCATATCTCTTAGAATGTAATTATGCACATGCAATTTAGATTTATATAGAAAAGAGAGATATTACATAGTGAGAGCTGAGTAACGAAAAGGTTAATAGGAAGATCCGAAAATCTTATTCATTATCTTTAAATATGGTTATTTGATAACGACTAAAATTTTTATAAATATATAGAATTTCATATCAAAATAACATTTCGATCTAATTAGTTTTAAAATCTTACTTGAATTTATTATTCTTGTAATTAATAGATATCAAGTTTTATAGCTCTAATTTTACTATGAAATCTTAATAACATTATTGTGCTCTTTTATAAAAGTTCTAAATAATATGAACTACTAAGGTATGATTGTTATAATTCTTTAGTATTCTCTTGAAGCGATATCATATGGAATCTTACTGTTAATTAACTTAAAATATGTAATTACAATGATTTGTATTGACTCCAATAACTTTGTACATATGCATAAAATTACAATAAGTTATGCAATCGTTTGAGAATTGTTTGAAACATCTCACTGCGGTCTGGATAGATAATATGAACTGATAGATTCATGATACATTGATTTTTAAATCAGTTGTGAAAAAGTGTATAGGGTACGGTACGTTGTGTTAGAAAAAATTCAACTCGATACTTTTCAAAGTTCAACTTGCACTCATCTGCAGTTCAGATTGCAGGACTCTAATCGACACAACAACCTCTTTGTAAAAACTATCATATATAAATAATGATAGTACTCTTCATAGTTAAAGACAGTAAATTGATTCTTCCGAAAGTTTCTTATTTTATGTTCATTATAAACACGCAAATAATTAAACTTTATTGATCATAAAATAATCAACCTTACTCTACATTCAAAATAATGAATATTAGTTTTGATTCAGAGTTGTTAAATCGAATGTAATTTTATAATCCATTGAAATATTAGACACTACAAAAATTCTGACCAATCTAGTTGACTTCGAATGGATTTATCAAACTAAATTCTAAAATTTTTTTTTTTTGAAAAATTTCATAATTCTATATTTCAAAATCATCCTATTGAAAATCTTTTATATATGCTAGTTTGATATCACAGTACAATCGTTCTGAGAAAACATTTTTACATATCCTTGTACTCAATAGATAATAATGATTAATGGCAGCTATAAAGAAAACTGAAAAGATAAAAATAATTAACACTCATGTGAGTTCGATTATGGAATAAATTAGACTTATATATATCCTTCAGAGATGAGTCGAAACTAAAATGCGTATATTCGACAATATGTGTAGACTATCATTTACAACTACATCAATCCATAGGTCGAAAAAAAAAGCTCTTGAAAAGATTATTCGAATACGATGTATTCAATTAGGATGAAATTTCTAAATAAGTGAGAATTTAATTTTACAAATTAAGTTTTCTGTTTTTTTTTTAAAGTGCAAATAAAAACTTTTTTGAATAAATAACTCGAACTCGTCCATCCTTGATTTTTTCGTATACTGTACTTCAGAGTATTATAGTTCTTTGTACTTAACTAAATGATGCTATAAATAAACAATTTCATTGTACTCGACAATGTACTCATTTAATGTAAATTTTATTGATATGTCAAGAAAAAAATATGCCCATTTATTTTCTTATTTTGTTGTTAAAATGTTTCTTTTTTTTTTGACATTATTTATTGACATATAAAATAATCATACTATTTATGATCGTTCGTTACTTGCCAAACAATAAACAATTTGTTCGTAAAGACATGTCATTAATCTCAACAATATTGTAGTCTTTTTATTTGCTTCATCTATATACAATCGTTCGTGTATTCAAACTCAATCGTTTATCAAATACTTCTATCCGATATAGTATATTTGCTTTCAACTGAAGTATAGAATACGAAACAATTACTCAAGATTATATGAATGCAAATGTTTTTTTCTCCCATTCTGCATCATCTAGTCATATTGCCCGCATACTAACCAATCATGTTTTTTAATATTCTTCATGCATATATTTCAAAGCGTTGGCAATTCACCACAAAATGCATCAAGGGCGAAGAATATTTCTCTTTTTTTTTGTTTTTTCTTTTTTATTAGATATGTTTCGTAGTTTCAATCGTCGTTTTATTCAACATGGACTTCTCTTTTGTACATCAGCTTTGGGTACTGGTTATATTGGACAATATATTCTTAAGGTTAAAGGAAAATTTTAATAGTTTTTTGTTTTTTTTTGATAATTATTATTATTTTTTAGAAAAATAAATTAAATGCTGCTAGTCCTACATTACATAAACCTGAAATATGGTTAGATGATTTTCCAACACGTGAAGTTCAAATTGATAAAATGTCAAAAGAATTCGAATATGATATTGTTGTTATTGGTGGTGGTGCAACGGGTTGTGGAGTAGCTGTTGATGCAGCAAGTCGTGGTATGTTTTATTTGTAATAATAAAGATTTTTTGTCTAAGAAAATTTTTATTTATTTCAATCAAGGTCTCAAAGTAGCTTTAGTTGAAAAATTTGATTTTGGTAGTGGTACATCATCACGATCAACAAAATTAATACATGGTGGTGTTCGATATTTACAAAAAGCTATAATGCATCTCGATCGTGAACAAGTAATAAAATGAAATTAAAAACAAAAAAATTTTTTTTTCTTAAAAATTAATAATAAATTTTATTTTTTAAAAATTTAGTATCATATGGTTAAAGAAGCTTTATATGAACGTGGTAATCTTCTTAAAATAGCTCCACATTTATCATATCCATTACCAATAATGTTACCTGTTTATAAGTAAATATAAATTAACAAAAAAAAAAAAAAAAAAAAAAAAAATTTTTTTTTTTTATTTTTTATTTATCTTTATTATTTAGATGGTATCTTTTACCATATTATTATGCTGGTATAAAAGCATATGATTTTGTATCAGGTCGACAATTACTTCGATGGTCTTATGTTATATCAAAAACAAAAGCATTAGAATTATTTCCAATGTTAAAAAAAGAAAAACTTGTTGGTGCTATTGTTTATTATGATGGACAACATAATGATGCACGAATGAATATATCACTTGCATTTACAGCAGCACGTATGGGTGCAAATATTGCAAATCATTGTGCAGCTATTGAATTTTTGCATGAAGATATTAAAGTTGATAATATTTATGGACAACCTGAAACAAAAAAAATTATTCGTGGTGTAAAATGTTTTGATCGTTATGAAAGTATGAAAATATTATTGAGATATGATTACTTGAGTTTATACAAAATAATTAAAAAATTTGAAATATGATGTGTAACATGTAACTGTTGCAGACCCTTTAAGTCATCGTTGCCGACGATTGAAATGATCGATCCGAGCAAAGCCTTGAGATTTAGTATAATATAGTTTTAAATTTGAATTTGCTACGATAAGATGTTATAATTTCGAGAGGAAAATTTCCAACAACAAAAAAACAGAACAATACCTTTCTGTAATGAGGAAGCGAATGTTCAATACTTTTGTTCTATTTATAGGATTGAAAAGTTTTGAAATAGTTCAATTCAATTCAAAAATCGGTCGTCTTATCAAGCGGATATTTCTGTAGCTTTTATTCAAATAAAGCTAGAGGCAATTTGCCAAGAGTTCCTTTCTATACAAAATATTTTTTGATGAAAAAAGTCGACTTTTTCAAAAATAAAAGTTTGAAATGTTTTGACCAAACTCGAATAAAAAAAAATTTCCATCAAGAATATAATTCAATGTCCGAACTCAGACATTTTTAAATCCGATATATTCTAATCATGACGAAATTTAACAACTAATTGAACTCATAAAATTGATTTTAATCACTTTCACATTGTATAAAAGTGTTTTTAATTCAATTTTATAAAATATTTAAATAATATAATCATAATGAATCGAATATATATTATAGATAAGGTATTTACAATTCGAACTAAATGTGTTGTCAATGCTACTGGACCATATACAGATACAGTTCGACAATTAGATGATCCATCATTACCACAAATTTGTCAACCATCAGCTGGTGTTCATATTGTATTACCTGATTATTATAGTCCACAAGATATGGGTCTACTTGATCCAAATACATCCGATGGACGTGTTATATTTTTTTTACCATGGCAAAAACATACAATGGCTGGTTTGTATTTAAAAAGAATCTAATTGAAATTTTTTGTTTTTGATTTTAAATTAGGTACAACTGATACACCTTGTGAAATAACTGATTATCCATCACCATCAACTGAAGATGTTGATTTTATATTAGGTGAAGTACGACATTATCTTTCATCCGATGTACAAGTACGTCATGGTGATGTTTTATCAGCATGGGCTGGTATTCGCCCGCTTGTTCTTAATCCAAATAAAAAAGATACACAATCAATTGCAAGAAATCATATTATACATGTTAGTGATTCAGGTCTTGTTACAATTGGAGGTAAAAAAATAAAAAGCAAAAATTAATTTATTCAATAAATCTCAATAGATTTTTATATAAAATAATTTTAATTGATTGTGGTTACTGTTTATACGCATATATATATATATATATCATTATGTAGATAATTGAAAGTCAATAGATTATATCTTTAAATGAACTGTAAATAAAAATTAATTTTGTTTAAAATGATTTTAGAAGAAAAGGAAGATTTAATGTAGATACTTAAAAGCATTCAATTACACATTATTAAGATAATCTTTTCATAAATCCTATATATAATCAGATTAAAATCTTATTAAATAAAATCTTAATTATATTAGGAGGAAAATGGACAACATATAGACAAATGGCTGAAGAAACTGTTGATCGATGTATAGAAACATCTAATTTAAAACCGAAAAATGATTGTGTAACAAAAGGTTTAATTCTTGATGGTGGTGAAAAATGGACACCAACTTCTTATATTCGTCTTGTTCAAGATTATGGTCTTGATACTGAAGTTAATTTAAACAAAAAAAAAAAAGAATCAACATTTTTGTTTTTATATTTCTGTATTCAAATAGGTTGCTATTCATCTTTCAAATACATATGGTGATCAAGCTTCTAAAGTAGCTGATTTATCATCATTAACTGGAAAACGATGGCCAGTTGTTGGTAGACGTTTACATGAAGAATTTCCTTATATTGAAGCTGAAATAAGTTATGCTATAAAAGAATATGCTCGAACAGCTGTAGATATTCTTGCTCGACGTACTAGACTTTCATTTTTAAATGTAATTGCTGCTGATGAAGCTCTTCCTGGTATAATACAAGTAATGGCTAAAGAATTGAAATGGAATGAAAAAAAACAAAAAGTTTGCAAAAGAAAATTTTCTTTATTTTATTTTATTTTATTTTCTAATTAAAAAAGGAAGAAATTGATCGTGCTAAAAACTTTTTATTACATGAAATGGGTCTTAATTTAAAACGTGATATGCATCGTGATGTACCAATTAATTTTACACGTGATGAAATGAGTTATTATTTAAAATATTTTCGTCAAATTGATGTTAAAAATAAAGGATTTGTAACAATGACAGATTTAAAACGACATTTACAAGTAAATAATAATTTTTATTTTATTATTTTTTATATTAAAAGAATTTTTCTAGACATTAAATACTGATATATCTGATGATGAATTTCGAATATTAATCGGTGAAATTGATCAAAATCAAAATGGAATTATTGAAACAGAAGAATTTCTACAAGTAAAATCAATTTATTTTTAATTCATTATAAAAGAACAAAAAAAAAAAAAAAAAAAACAACATTTTTATTTTTATAGTTAATGAGCGCAATTAAATCTGGTAGTTTATCAACGAGTCATTTTGCAAAAGCTGCTCGATTAGATAAAATTAAAAAAACCAATCCATCACCAGAACGAAGTGGTGGTGGTATTTAAACAAGATTAATTACAAGAAAATCATTTTTTGTTGTTGTAGAATTATCTTTCTTGTTTTGTTTTTCTCTTCTTTTTTTTTTTCCTTTTTGTTTTTCTCTACAAATGACATCATCGATGAACACCTACACAATCTTACATACGGGTTTATGCAATCAATCAAGAAAAAAAAACTATCTTTACATGGTTATTATATTTACTTTTTTACAAACGACTATCCAGATTCTATCATTTGTCAATTCGAAAGATTGTGAAGACAAAAACCATACACTTAGTTTTTTTTCTCATTTTTGTTTAGTGTTTTATCCTTTAGTATTCTGCTTTAAATTATGTTTCAATTGATACACCTAAACTTCTTTCTGTTTCTTTTATTATTATTTCTGCATTTTCTATTAAAATGATTTCCTTTACATAGTAAAAAATACTTGTACGCAAGAAGATATCATTAGAAAAAGATATAATATGTGTTCTTGTCTTAGGCTTAAATGCATGTCACATTCAGAAAATGTTGAAACCTTAGATAAGTGCGTGCATATGTATGTGTGTGTGTATCTGCGTTTTTTTCTCATATTTTTATAGATTATTTAAGTACTTATTGAAGAGATGAACCACGTGTTAAGAACAGATGGAAGACACGTTAAAATACATAGGCAGCAGCTTGTTCTAATGTTTCCTGTTGTCTATCATCACAATAGAACAGTGCTCGATGTAACAACACACGCAAATTAGACATAACTCAAGGAGAGAAAAAAAAAAGGACGAAAGAAAAAAAAAAACCAAGAAAAAAAAAAAAAGAAAACCGGGTCGATGGAAAGAGAACAAGAAAAAGGGTTGAAGTGAGAGAGAATCTGGGCATCGTGGGGGTGCATTGAAAGAACGAAAGCAATAGTCGACAACGTCGCTTTAGCATCAGCAACAAGCGTTTCTCGTTTTTCTTTTTTCGAAAAATATATATATATATAAAAAAAAAAAAGTCGCGACCGACTGGTCTCTGTTGTGCTGCCAGACTACGTCATCGTCTTTGTGTTTCAAAGCAAGAAGAAGAAGAAGAAGAAGAAGGAGAAGAAAAAAAAAATCTCAGGACAAACTCGCGCACACACACACAAAATATATATATACAAAATACACACACACGTACACAAGCTTGTCATCGTCATCATCATCGTGTGCTAGTTCGACAAACAAACAACATACCGTTTGTTTGTCATCACCTATCTTCGCCTTCTTTTTTTTTATATTATTGTCATCAACTAAGACAAAAATAACGAAGGAAAAAAAAAACAACCTACACACGGGTTTAGGTAAGTCATATATGCATATCTAATAATAAATTATTAGTTGATGCTTATGTTACTAAAAAAAATACAATCATTTAACCAAGACGTTTATCGCAATCTACGATTATTTAATTAAGTTGAACATGATTTTTTTATCAATATAATATTGAAAAAGAATATATATATATATATATATATATATCTATATATCTATATGTGTTTTATATATATATATATATATATTCGATCAACCATCGAATTATTTGAATAGATTTAAGTTGCGGAAAGCTTACAAACGATCAGGATGAAAGGAACTATGCACGAGTGACGTTCATAGAATATTTCTGATGAGAATAACTATATCTGTTTGATGTATCTGAGATTTTTTCCAAAAAAAACGAGTATGCGCACGAATAGGTTTTTTTTTATCCTAGTTGATTAAATGGAAAAGATTACGTATTAAAAGTGAGCACATAAAAAAAAAAATTTATTCACAACAGAAATATCGAGAAAATGAACTTAGATATATATTTTGTCTTTTTCACGTACATATATATGTACTATCTTTCTTCTATTTATTTTTTTTTTTGTTTTTTTGCATTCATAAAGGTACGCGTCATCCATATTTAAGCATAGATTTTATGTTAATGAGTTTTAATGAGAATAACATGCACAATTCTCATTCCATATCCAATATCATCAGTCATATTAGATGACTCTCATCGGTTTTTTTTTGTCATATATTCTCTAGTTAATATGTCTATGATTCATATTCGATTTCATTATTGTGTTTTTTTTTTTTTGATTTTAGAATGGGAAGAAAGAAAATTCAAATATCAAAAATAACTGACGAACGTAATCGTCAAGTGACATTTACAAAACGTAAATTTGGTCTTATGAAAAAAGCTTATGAATTAAGTGTTCTATGTGATTGTGAAATAGCGCTCATTATATTTAATTCGTCCAATAAACTTTTCCAATATGCATCAACGGATATGGACAAAATCTTGCTCAAATATACAGAATATAATGAACCACATGAAAGTCGAACAAATAATGAGATCGTACAGGTAAGAAGAAAAAGAAGAAGAAAAAAAAACAACACATATTATTCATGATTGTAATTTTTTTTTTAAAGATTCTTCATAAAAAAGAATCCAAACATCTCGATCAAAATGATAGTGATAATGATATGGAAGATGAAAGTGCTAATGAAATGGATAGTAATCATCAACTTCCATCTCATCATCATCTTGATCCAACATTAAATGATTCAAGAAAACGTACAAATCAAGTATTTATATACCAATAGAAAAAAAAAAACAAAAAGAAAAAAAAATTAATAGAATTTCTTTTTTTTGTTAATTTTCTTTTTAATAAATTTTAGTCTCAACAAGCTGGTAATTATCATCCATCATTATCAATGGTAAATGGTATTGGACAACAAGCAACACAACAACAAAATTTTTTAACAGGTTAATTAATTAAATTAATTTAACAAAAAAATTTTTTTTTTTATCTTTTAAAATTTAGTTCATGGAACAACTGGCATTGATGCATCTTCTTCACCATCACCTCAATCAACATATTCACCACCTAGTTCACCAAGTGAATCCCGTACAAGTCCAAATACATCATCGAAACAACAATCAACATCAAATATAAATACTAAATTTTCAATAAATTCTAATAGTGGAACATCATTAACAACAACATCATCACATCATAATGATTTGACAGGTGGAGGAGGAGGTACAAACAATCGTATCAATGGTAAATTTCATTTTTAATTTCTTATTTATTAATATTAAACTATGAGGATAATCTCTTTTTTGTTTTAACAGATTTTACATTAAATACAGTTAGTGGTAGTGGTGAAAGTAATAATTTTCTTCATTGGCATCCATCATCTCGTTCATCCTTAGCAGCTGCACTTCAAATGAATCCATTACCATTAGGGTAAATCATAATTTTTAGAATTATCTTGAAATAATAAAACATATTTCTATTATTTCTAATCTAGTATGATGAATTATGATATGCAACAAGCTCTATGTGCTCAATCATCGGCAACAAATAATAACAATAATAATAATAATCCTACTGGTCTTAGTCCACATTTATATTATCAACAACAACAACAACATCATCTTCATCATCAACATCATCGTCCAAAAACTGAACCATATTCACCACCTATGCCACATGCTCCAACTAGTGCTCGTTCATCACTAAATGATACAAATTCCGGTCCAAATCATCCGATATCAAAAACTCCTATACCTCAACAACAACGATCAATTGATTATTTAAATTCATCTTCATGTTCAGAACCATCACTTAAACATGCACGTTTTGATCCATCAACTTGGCCAAATACAACTTGAAAATGAAGAGAAAACAAAGAAAAAAATAAATAAAAAAGAAAAACTTTCATCAATTTCGTATAAAATTTTGCTCAAATATATAGAAAAAAAGAAAACAAATTTCATACTCATCTATTGACCAAGACAAACTATTTGGTTTTTTTGTGACTTATGAAATAACGAATGATTACATATGTGTCATTCTTTTTTTCTCATTCTTATTGTATTTAAAACAAAAAAAACAATGTGAATACCGGTGTATGTATTTGTATGTCTAACTGTTGTTGTTTTCTTCAGAGTTATATTCTATATTTTCTTCTTTTTTTTTCTTTTTTTTTTGGTGTTTCCAGAATAATAACGATGTTGTTTTCCTTTCGTATATGTATATTTAACAAACCAAAAAAAAAAAATCAGAAAAAAAAAACCGACAGTGATCATTCTAAGTATATCTGTGGGTGAGAGCTTTTTCTTTTCTTTATTGTGTTCTCTTTCTTAATGTATGTCTGTTGACTGACATTCAGTACAGATGAACAAGAAAAAAAAAAAACGAATTTCATGATTTCATATAAATTAATGAAGAAAATATATAAATAAATAAACATTAAAAAAAAAACAAAGAACATTTTTATTTGATTAAAAAGTCTAAAGAAAGATTGTAAGTAAGATAAGTGTGAATGTTACGGTAACATAGTACTAAAATAAATTTGATAATAAATAATTTTTAGTATATTTATAGTTTTACAGGTACACGTAGTAAGGTTAAACAATTTAAGTAGCAGATGACATCTTCATCATATTAATAAATATTTAGTTAATTAGATGGAACAAAAAAAAGTTAAGTAACATTTCTAAAAAAAAAAAGGTATATTTATATATTCTTTTCTGATAACCAGATGGAACATGATTTGATAAAATTATTAATAATGACAGCAATTGTTTCATAGTCTTAGTTGTAATTTGAATTGTACAAACGATCTTAATTATCAACAAGACATCTCATGTCACATATTTATTCACACTATCATCGTTATACTAACAAGTAGATTGCCGGTCGAAGAATAACTATCAGTCTATCGCAGTAGAATAGTGGTCAGAGGACACACAAATGTGTAAGTATTAAACTACCTGGGGATTTTATCCAGTTCGAATCGCATGAGATCACACTTTTTTTTTCATGTTAATTTTAATGATGTAATATTATAATCAATTGTAAATGATGATATCGTATGAAGTAATGAAAACTTGTTTTTTGTTTTGTGCTATATAGATTCAATGCATTATTTATCGAAGTTCTCATATTTTTCTTTGTTATGGTCTTAATTCTGATTTATATGAGTACATTAGATTGAGTAAGATAAACCATTATGAAATATAAGATGAACAATATATTGCTCGAAATGATGTTCAACAATTTATTAATTTTACTACAATCAATAAAATATCGAAGAATTTTCAAATTTTATTTAAAAAAAAATTAAATCAATATATTATTAGTCATATATTAATCAAAATTTATTTGATAATCATTTCAATCTGTTTAAATATATTTATTTCCTATTGTGTTGATCGAAATCTGTATTCGATGCTTTTTAATAAATTGGCCAAGATGAAAATCAAAAGTATCTAGTATAATACTCAAATATTCCATTATGTAGTGATTTCATCTACTCTTCAGTACTTAACTATATAAGTAGTTTTAATCTTAGGTAAACTCATCATTCAAAAAGAAAAAACTGAATCGCGATTGCAATTTGATATTTTTTATTTTATATTCACAACTGATCTTTTACTATCGATTAGTCTATCAATACTTATGCTTTCTTTTCTCGGCTATATTGATTGTTTTGAAATCGTCAACATACCTACTACATCTTACTTTTTCCGCTATTTTCTTGAAATTAAATTATATTATAGAAAGTCAATTCCATTGTTCGTAAAAAAAAAAGAAAAGAAAAGAAAATGGAATATGAACTTTCTAATAAAAGAAAAAGATTTTTTTTTTCGAATGAGAAATAAAACATAAGAAAATCAACATGTCTTATTATTTTCTTTCGGTTGACATATTCTACTTACCTCCTACATACATTAAGTAGGACTCTCGTCGTTTTCATCATAACGAGAAGAAAATTTATGCCTACATGCTTATTAACACATTTGAATGACATAATTATAACGTTTGTTTTTAACTACTATTTCCGTCAATCAACGTTCATTACATACTTATAAAAAAATTTTAGAGTTTTTTTTTTTTCTTTGAAATTTTCTATTCTTTTTTGTTCTATAAACAACAAAATTCATGTTATTAGTAATGAAAGTTAAATACTTATAGTTGAAAATAGATTTTTTTTTCTTTAAAGAAAATAATTAAATGTCTGTCGTCAATGAACTATAGAAGAGTTTAATTTATAATGATACAGATAATCAAATAAAAAAAAAAAAAATCCTACAAAGAAAAAAACAATCGTACGGAAACTATTAAATCGACTATAATGACTCTTCTGTTGATTTGTGTGTTAATGAATGGTATGAATAATCGAACAAAGGAAGTTCACCAACTGACTAATTACTTTTGAATCAAAATGATATGTATCATGTAGAACTGCATGAACTATGAATACTCTAAAAAGAGTTTATTATTGCTTGCAAACATATTGTGACTATTTTATATCTTGTCATTGTTCCTATCTTAAGATACAACTCTATAGTAAAAGCATGTCGTTTACGTTATTCATTGTACTAGTAGAGACAAATATTCTTATTTAAGAATGGGAACAAACAAAAATCTATTCTCAGTAAGTTCTATCTCTGTGCAAAGTTTCAAATCGATACTCGGAAATCAATTTTCCTCAGAACGATTGTAGTATTCTACGAAAGAATACAATAAAAACTCAATGTCTTCGCAGCAAGAAACTAATGTTCTGAACTGTTTCAAGGTGTTCACAACTCATTAGAGTCTCTACATGATGCACATAGTCATGACTTAATTATTTGGGAAACTTTTCTCATAAGAATCTATCAAATAAGATGCTGAAATCTAAAGTTAACATACAAATTGTTATTCATTCTAAATTCGAATATAATAGAAAAGACATAAGAAGTTTTTGAAGTATTTATAAATCCTATCGCTTTAATATAACGGCTTATTTACGTAATGCGACATTTCATTGATCAAGTTTTTGAAAAAATTTTTTTCCGAATTAGACAATTCTGAATACATTATTAGGTGCCGTTTTCCATGCTAATTATGAATTTGATAAAAAAATTGGATTTTGGTAATTTTAATTTTCCTAACCAAGAAATATTTTTCAAAAAATACTGAATGACATACTATTCGATGTCGAATTTAATTCTCTACAAAATGATCTATTTATTTTTGATTTTCATCACTAATGACAAATTGTACATGCTTATATACTTTTCAATTGATTATATAGTTAATGACTTCCCGTTTTGATGCAGCAACTTAATTCTTGCATAGAAAGTTTTGCCTCAAACTTAATCGCCAAAAACAAAAATGTTTAACAACGTTACGTTTATTTTTTGCATTTTTTTTACCATTTAAAAGTCCATTCGATGCTCTACAAAACTGGCGTCTCATTTGGAGAAAATAAAACTTTTCTAGAAATCCGAGACTTCAACCAAAAAAAAGATTATTCTTATAGCAGAAATAGAGTTTGATAAGATGCATCGAATGGTGCTTGAATCAAGTTTCTAACTCTCAAAATTGCCCAGACAATTGAAAAAAAAAGAAGTGTAATAGCAATACATTTAGACAAGTCGACTACTTAAACTTCTTCATGTGCAATACAAGTGTTTGTTTTTCTAATAAATTCTTTGTTTAATAAAAAACAAAAAAAAAAAAAAAAAATTATAATATTAAACGAAAATAAAAAAACAAAACACTTAAACATATTTCAGTCTTAACTTGCTAGTATAAAATAAAAAAAATTTAATTTAGAATTTATCATTTAAACAACAGAAATCGATAAAAATTGATTTTTATTTTCTTTTCTATTCGTATGATTAATTGTTGTATTTTGAATATTTGTATGTGTTAATAGAATAGATTTTGAAAATTTTTTTTTTATATTATTATGTCCTGAATATTGTACTGTATCAAGACAATAATCAGTATGAGATAAATGAAGATGTCGTAATTTTTGTTGATATTTTAAAGCACATGCATATGCACGTTCATCAACTATTGCTTGAAGATCATCATGTCCTATTTTTGTATATGTTTCATGATCAGCAAAATAACCACGAAATATATGTTTTAAACGTTCAACATCAGCTAATTCTTCTAAAACGAAAAAAAAAAATATATATTAAATCAATTAATTTTTATTTTATACAAACGATAAAGTCGATTTTTATTTGGTACATCCCAAAGTGTTTTTAAAAAATAAGCAGGTAAATCATGTCGTTGTCGTTGAGTTTCTTTTAATTGTTGACCAAATAAAAATATTATACTTAAACCATAAAAACCAATATAAGCTATAATAAATAAAGCAGCACCTTTATTACCATATTGAATATCATTGAACCAATTATCTTCAACAAATGATGTTACATTCATTTATCTAGGATTTGTTATCTATGGTACCAGCTTGTATAACTTTATGTGATTCTTCTTTCAAATGAAAAATATAAAAGAAGAAAAAAAAAATACGACATATGGTTTTGTCATATATGTATTTGTATATTTCAATAATCGATTTCGTCATTGATTTCTTTTTTTTTTTGTATTAGATTATATTAATGTTTACGAATGTGATTTAACATATAACAGATGGTAGAACATTTTGCAAGGTTTTAAATAATAGAATAATCTTTTTCTTTTATTCATATAGTTTAGATATTAATGAAACATATACGAAATCAATCGAAATTTTTAAATAATAGCTGTTAATAATAGTCTAAAGCATATTGATTTGACTTTACATTGATGAATGCAGATATTAATCAATTTTATTTGAGGTGTTAAATTATACTGATAGGGGAATTCTATTCGTCAAGCTTGAATGATTAGCTATGATGAAAAGTGTAAAGTAAGAAAATGAGTAAAACTATTCATCCTAGAAATAGATAATTTCATATTATTAAGATCAATGACAATATTATAATACTATGAAATTGAAATAAATTTCAATTATTTATACTAGAACAGAATACTACTAAGACAAATTTATAAACTTCATGTTGTTTAAACAAGGTTCATCCTCGTACGAATTTAACATTTGTTATTTTTATTTTACAAGAAATTATTTGAATTACTTGCCGTTTAATTTTATATAGATACAATTAGATTATATAACATGTTCTTCTTATGAGATTTAAACTGGATAAAACCGTCAATAAGCCGTCGGTAGACCGTTCGGCTTAATATGCATTATACCGGAGGTAGTACAACATAGGTTTTAACATGATATTCTTGCAATTTTTCATTTGTTTTTTCTGGTCTATGTACGCTATCTACTGGACATATTTCAAGAATTAATATATAAATATAAAAGTCAAAAAAGATGGAATATTTCTGCTGAAAAAATATTAAAATTTATATATTATTTCACTGTTGTTGAAAAAAACGCTTATTGACAAAAAAAATGACAATTGAGAATCACATCGGTTTCTCAATTATAATACATCCGATTCAGCTGAGACATTCATTTACTTACACTAGATAGTTTTTTAGAATATTTCCCTTTCTGTTTCAAAATATGATGTGTCGCTGGTTTTTACTAGAGTTTCCAAAAAATGCTTTAGTTCAAAAGAAAAAAAGTATACAGTTTTAAGAATACGTTCAATATTTTGATCATTTTATTCGAATAAAATTAGGCACTTCAACAGTGTTTAGAATCTGGAAAGAAATTTCAACTCTACGAGACGTATTTCAGTTGAGAAAACGAGACGATTAGATAGTGACTTTTAGCCTTTGTGAACTCGATATCTCCTAGAAGGGAACAAGGGTGTGGATGTGGGTTGGATAGAATGCATAACATTTCCACGATATTTTTTCTACGTCTCTGAGCCTCAGCGTTCAAGAGTTTTCTGAAAGTCAAGATCGATTATGAGTCTCTGTCACCAAAGAAATTTTTTTCATTATATTTCAAAGTTTAGGATTAAAGATTATTGTATTTCACACTTTCAAATGAGGACATCAACATGTAATATGGCTATGTTATATATCAATCGGTAAAATTAGTCAAGAAACAATCGGAGAGTGGTTCTAGCAACACATATATTGAATAGTAAATCCATGTGATGAAAATCTCCTAAAAATTAATAATTTAATCGAAAGATGATATTGTGATGAAATCATCCAAAAAGAAGATTTTAGCCAATTTGTACTTGTTTTTCATTACAAGTCGCAATTCATTCAAGACTTTTTACAATTCATAATTTATATTCCAGTCAAAGATTCTCCAATAGTGATATTGACTAATGACTATCATATAGTTTTCCAACTTATACTGAAGATATGAAACAGAATATTGCACATTTCTTTTTTTTGACGAAAATGATCTTGAAGTCTTTTCTTGATAGGTTTTTAGAAATCAAACATTAGAAAAATTGACATCTCCAATTTTATTTATCAAGAATTTAAAAGTCCTTAAAGGACTAATACTGTCATTACATATCAAATGTTCTCAACAACATCCAATTGACCTTGATAATAATAAAAAAAAAAGGTGTGAAATTAAAAATATAAAGTTGTTTAATATATCAAACTATATATTTAGCAAAGAAAGTTATCTTTAGAAAAATAAAATTCTTTCAATGTTAATTGATAATATAAAAGTATTTTGATTAAATATTTGTTCAAGACTTTTTAACATCATTAATTGAAGAAACTAATTCTTGTCATATGAATTTAATTTTATAGAATAAAAAAATAAATAAACTTTCTTCTTCTTTTTTTTTGTTTTATACATTTATATCATTTGATGTAATTTGATTTTGATTGGTAATATTTGTATGTATATTATCAGTTGTTATCATTGGATTTTTAAATGATGGAAATTTAATATGAATTTTTGGATAAAATGAAGATAATTTTAATGAATAATGATCATGATTTAAATTTTGTAAATGTTTTTCTTGTTGTTTTTTATGATTAATTAAAAAAACATGATTTAATTGATTAATACTTTCAATTTTAATTGTTGTATAAAATTTAAATTTAAATAAAATATTTGATGGACATAATAAAATACAATATAATACTGGTTTAAAACTTATACCAGATAAAATTATTTGAGCAAATGTACGACTATTAATTAAATCATGATTATATGATGATAGAAATGAATCAAATAATATTTCAATTGTACGATAAAAATAAAATGGAAGTGATGTTAATGTTAAACAAATAAATATATATAATATATAAAGTGATAATTGTTGTTCACGAACAAATGATGATGAAATTTTTCTTGCAATTAAACAACAAGATAAACGTATATGTAATAAGATTTCAAGTATAAAACCTAAATAGATTAAATTTATTATAAAATTGAAAATTTTTTTTTGTGAAAGAAAGAATTTTTCTACAAAAAAGATTTAATTTGAAAACTAATTTCAAATACGTAGATTATGTTATTCATAGATTAGAATTTTGACAAAAAAACACTTCTTTTTATAATTGAATTCATAGTACTTTCTTCTAATGTAGTGTTTACTATTAATAATTTAACTTAACTCACGAGAAAATATCTACAACTATCGAATTTCTTTTAAATCAAAATGATTGATAACCTATAGCCAAATAATTTAACTATTTGAAAAGCTTCTTCGTTCGAATTTGTCTAATCGATTACATGTCCTTGTGCAAGGTATAGGTTGGCAATTAAAAAAAATTTTATTAAAGTAAAAACATTAAGTAGATTTTAAAATCCGATCACAGAGCATTATGTTAATCTATTGTTTTAATTTGTTAATCAACGGATCTGAAAGATGTACAATATTCTCAATGCAATAAAAATCATCATTAACTATATAGAACTATGACATTGGAAGAAAATACTTCAATCATTTTTGTAATATAAATCCACTTGAGACAAGATTAATTGAATATAGAAAAAGAGAAAGATTTTCTTCTCATGATGTTTATCATCAATTTCGAATGTTTGCAATTGAAACAGACTCATTACAGTGATCGTCGAGTCACTTCCTTTCCGTCTCTGTAATTTAGTATATGGAAAAAATGAGTTGTTTTATAAAGTTTTGACAACTCTTCTTGACTTCCATTACAACCAACATACGAATTAGTGTAATTAAAACGCCTGCGTAGTCCTCAGTTAGGATGAAAAGACTGTATTTAAAATGAATGAATATCCTTTTGACAGTAGCTGACAATTTCTCATCGTGAAGTTCCTGTTACTCTGGTCTGTAGATGACATCTAATTGATTGTTTTTAGGTCAATAAATTCAGTATATTTATGTAAAAAAAAATGTATACATGAATTTTAAAATAATATTTTTCTTTTATCAAGAAAACAAAATTCATACGAAAGTATTGCTTTCGATATTGAATTGTTTTTCATGTTATTTGTAACAACTTTAACTTTATTTTCTTTTTAATAGGATTATTCATAATTACTCTACAGATTAGTAAGTATCATACGGTTATCTTGATGATGATTACAAAATATTTAATCATACATGTTTGCTATATAATACTCGATTTGATATATTACGAAAAATAATTCAAATTTAATAATAATATACAAATAGTTCTTTTAATTATTAATTACTTTTTATAGACAAACTGCATCAAAGATGTTTCAGTTATTATTTTTAAACATAGAATAATTCTGAATATCGAACAAAATATTTAGAAACATATGCTCGTACAAAGATTATAGATTCAAATTCTATCAAGAATAATATAATTTAATCTAAGTCGGAGAAAATATCATTTAGAAAATTATGTGCAAAAGAAAAAATAGATTTATCGTTACGATAAGAGCCAAATTGGTATCGATCAGAAAGAATCTTTATATAGTAACAATTTCAAAAATTAAACAATGCTATCTATTCATGTGTAAAAAAACGTTGAGGATAAATTCATCAGAGCATTAAGTAAATCTATAAAAAGATTTCAAAGTTCAAAGTAATCAAAAGATATTAACCAAGATTTGATATTCAAACATGACATTCTTTGAACTTTTACAAACTTTTTAATGATTATTTACTTACCAATAAAATGTAATGAAAAAAGAAGTAAAAAATCAGCTTGTATTAAATATAAAAGACGAGCTGTAAATTTAAAATTATGATTTGTTTGTAAATAACATATTATTGTTTGTTGAGGTAGATAATCATTATCATTATTACTATAGCCTTCTAATTTAATATATGATTGATGAAGAGTTTTATTCGTTGATAGAGGTGCAAATATTTCGTTTGTTTGATTTAATGAATCATCAATTACCGGTGGTAAAATAAAATTACTTATATTTGTTTCACCCCATAACCATAAACTATCAACCGACCATGCAAGTGCTATTACAAATGGTATTAATATACATAAATCCGTAAAAAATAATTGATTAAATGTTGTTGTTTTAAAAATTTTTGATGGAAATTTTTTATTTAATATATAATGATAACGAAATAAAATAAATATTGTTAATAAAGGAATAAAATGAAGTGTAAATTTCCATATTAATATATGAAATGAACATAAATGAAAACGTGGTACTAATGATTGTAAATAATATTTTTCATCAATACAACTTATTATTGATGATAAACATAATAAAAAATCATTACTTGTTAAAATTAATAAATATCGATATTTTTTATTTGAAAGTATATGAATAGATTTTTGTTGTTCTATATTATTTCTATTTAATTTTCGTTGTTTATATTGTGAAATAATATAAGAAAGATATAACATACAAATTAAATTTGAACAAGTACCAAATATACTTATAATTAATGTTAATGTTGAATGAAAAAATGGTGAATGTATTATAGTTATTGGACTATAATGTGTTTCATTTATATATCGTTGTGAAGAAAAGAAAAAACTATCATGTAATAACATTTTTTCGTTTTTACAAATTTTCTTTTACGAAAATGAATATATAAAAATACTCATTGATGTTTTATCTACAAATAAGATCGTTACAATATACAAAAAAAAAGAAGAATTTCATTTCCGTTTTCTTTTTATTTTTTCTATTTTCTATTCATAAAATATTAAAGGCTTGCTTAATATGCAATAAAAGAATAACTCAAGAATAATAAAAGATGCATTTAGATCAATGAGTGATAATAATAAAAACAAAAACAAGATTTGTTATTGTCAAGAAAAGTATTTAAAAAAAAGTAAAACAAATCTATCGACTAGAATATAAATAATACGTGACAGTTAATGAGTTTAAAAATTTACTATATAATCTATGACAGTAACAGTAATTGTTTATCATTGTCAATAGAGTAAGAATATTGATAGAACATATTATATATGTTATTCTAACTAATCAATTCGACTGTAACAAAATCTCTTATTTTATTATCATCAATAGAATGAATAAAGTATTTAGATAGGAAAAATTTTTCGTCTTACTTAAAAGAGAACAATCAATCAAATAATATGATTAGACAGGGTGTAGTTATATTTTGAAGATAATATATAAGGTTATTCTTAACATCTATCTGTCAATTTGTCACATAAACTTAAAAAGAAAAAATGGTGAAAAATCTTGACATCTAATCCACACTGTTTTTTTTTTTTCTTTATTTATCTATTTCGAGAAAAAGAAAATAAGGCAAACATCAATTTATCATTTCCGTTTCGATTGACATAAGCCTATTATTAGTCTTATAGTAGACATGAGTTACATATCAAACTGAATCTAATCCGAAAATAGATAAATAGTAGAGGAAAAAACAAACAACATTTCCTGATATTCATTAGAAAATATTTTAGATCATCTGTTACAGAAGAAAATATATGCATATAATTTATCTTAATAAAAAGCCTAATATGACATTCAAAATAACGCATATATTTAACCTAAAATAACTCTTTTTTCCGCCTTTTTAACACATTATATTTCATTGCTTATTTTGATATAGATTTTATAATAAAAAATAAGTTAAAATTTTTAATTTATTCATTTTAAATGTTTTTATAAAAATAATT